TATAAACTGTCCATATTACTCACTCCTTGTTTGATGCCAGCCTTTCCTACTTTTCCAAACATTTCGTTTTTTTGTGAAATCTTGACGAGAAGTGATAAACCTCAAATTTAAATACACTAAAAAACAAGATACTTTCCTTATTTTACTTTTTAACATTTCAAACTACTGTCTATCAATTCTGATTTGTTTTAATTGATGTCTTGTAAAGCACCTTGTTATGGATTTTCATATGTGATTATCATTTTTGTTATTATTACAATTCACATTAAACAGGTTGTCAGACACTCAAAAAGCAGAAACTCCTCAGCATAATCAAAGTTTATTTTATAAGTGATCACACAAACATTCACATTTCTGTCGACCGTGTACACAAACGGCTCCGTGTCGCTGTTCTCCTACAGTGTCACACACGTCTTCATCGTTCACCCCTGATATTTCTAACAAAGGTTCAGGTGGATCCAGTTCTCTTCTGTCTGGGCTCGTGTGGTCTCTCGCTGAACGACACAGCTCTTAATAATCAGAGGGTTTTACATTAACGCCAGTCCTTTGGTTATTTTTCTATTATAACAAACCTTAATTACACACCCATGTTCATTAAGCTAAAAGACAGTAAGAAACTCACTCACCCAGAGGAACTGAATCACCGTCATTCCCTCGTTTAGAACTTTATACACACGCCGACGTTTCTCGACATTTACCCTGAACTTTTAATTGCTTTGAGTGAAACATTACATCCACACTCGCCTTCATTATAAACCATCAGACTGCTACAAATACCTGTAATATACTTAGATAGAATTACTTCATATACACAAATCAGAGATGTGGTCAGGGTGTTAAAACCTGGAGCGTTTGGACATTTATATATCTGATGCATTGAGTATTAGAACAGACCAATAAGGGCAGTAAATGATGCACAGTGTTTATTCATCTATTTCCAATAAACCTAAAGTCAACTCAATCAAATCTACATTTCTGTACATCTTTAACTTGTTACGGTTTATCAGAGCTCAAGTGCAAAAACCAGAGGAAAAGAAACCAAGTAGAAAAATGAAATAAATAGTAAATGTAGGCGATGAAGGCAAGAAGGTATTTACAATCAAACAAAATCCAAACAAAAAGAAAGTTGACACACAAACACACTTAGACTGGACCAGGCAGCAAGTAAGCTGTAATGATTCAGTTTGACTCCACAGTTGCGATAAGAAAAATATATATGGCTTAAATGACATTTTACAGCATGAAAAAGAATGTGGATGCTGAGTTGTCAGATTTCAATTCATGTCTACAACTGCAGGAAACCTCTTTGACCTCACAAACAAATTAAATGCTGATTTCCTGGAAACCCAGGTGAACAAAGACAGAGGAAAAACCACTTAGTGAACAGGCTGTAAACATTTTGATTTGATTGTTGAATTTGAACATTTTCTAGAAATGTTCCTTCATTTGAAGCAGGTTTTGTTTTGGCCCGTGTAAACTTTGGCAAACTGAAAAATAAATAAAACACGTTTTTTTTTTTTCCTTTTCAAGTATCAGAGCACCGTAAACTCTTCCTATAAACAGCTGCTGCCACTTCATCTATCGGATTTCACTGCTCATCATTAAATCAAATAAATAGTTGAATTCAGCTTATTGAACCTTCAAAAAAAAAGATAAAGCTCTTTTAAAATGGCTTCTTCTTACTTCTCTTTGTACAACACCCACAAATGTAAACCAAGCAGAACTTAAGGCATTTGCACAAGAGAAAAACGAACAAACAAAGATGGCGACAGGGAGAAGTTGTGTGGATGAGGTGGAGTGTGTCTGCGTGTCTCCTTGCAGGCGGAGGAGCGACTCTACTTGGGCGGCAGGGGGTTGCTGGGAGTCGTCGGAGTCACCAGCTCCTTGTAAAAGTTCTCGATCTGCTCCTTGTACATCTTCGCCACCACCGGGCGCTTCAGCTTCATGGTCGGACCTGTGGAGCAAATGTTTTATGTTGTTTAACACTTGATCTTTGTGTGTCGTTCTGGGTTCCTACAGGTTTCAACTTACAGGTCCAGTGTGTAAGATTTAGGTGAAAGGGCAAAAATTGAATTTAAAATAATCCTTTTGATGTTTTCACTCGTGTGTTTCATCTAAATTGCAGAAATGATTGTTTTATTTACCCTAGAATGGCTCCTTTATATTTAAATACTTTATAGACTGGACAAACTAAACACTTGTAGAGTTTTCATGACGACTGAAGGCTGCCACAGGTTCTCTGTCATGTTTGGTACATCAGATATGAAGGAATATCAAAGTCCTAGAATCACTTCAACTTCTCCATAATTAAATGTTAGGTAAAGTAGCTGAGGAACATCACGTTATTTTATTTTTTGTAGATTAATTACAGTGTGCTAAAACTACAACACACAGAGACATGACAAACTCATTTTAAAGTGGTCTCAACATAATAAGACTTGTTTCGTCCCACTCACCCAGCTCTCCTCCAGGGAGGGAGAAGTCACGATCCAGAATGATCCACTTCTGGATGCGCTGAGCGTTGGAGGTGGCCTTCTCGTTGACGCTGTTGATCCCCTCCTGGATGGCGGTGTGGATCGCCCGGTCTCGGCCGCCTGCGACCTCAGAGACTCGCGTGGCCTCGCTGCCCAGGTTCCTGCAGAACTCCAGGGCCTCTGATGACAGCTCGTCCTCTGGATCACCTGTTTCAGCGTTCACCTTGCACTGGAGGGACAAACAACAAGGTTTATTTTTAAATCAAATAACATTTTTGTTAATATTATCATGTTTTGTGCCATTTCAAGTGTTCAAATTATAGATTTTGTTTTTGGATGAAAGCTGAATTTCCATGTCACTATAGTCAAAGCCCACTAGATGGCAGTGTCTGAACATCTACACAAAACAGCACGTTGCTTTTTTCCCCCTGAAATCTCCTTCAGCAAGTATAAAAGTCCTGATGTTCACAAGTAAAATAAACTTCACCTCCTCCTCTTCTAATCAGGTGCAATGTAACGCAGGGTTTATCTTTATAAAACACTTCAACTCAGGGAAATTTAAAGTGCTCCACATAAGATATTAAATGCATCACGATAAATTTAAAATCAGCGTCAGACAACACAAAAAGAAACAATCAGAAAGAAATTTAAGAGCTCAAGAGAATTTAAATGTAGCTACTGCCGTCTACTTAACCTCCCTCCTGGATTAAAGTGGACAAACAGTAATGTGGTCTGACCAGGTCCAGGTGTCAGTTTCAGTTTACCTTAATGGTGAGCAGCATGGACAGAAACTTCCTCTTGTCTCCGATCAGCATGGCGTTGCTGATCAGCGGCACAGCACTTTTTATCGCATCCTCGATGGGAATGGGAGGGATGTTCTCGCCTCCTGCTGTGATGATCAGCTCTAAAAATCAAACAGAGAAAAACAGGCAGGTTTTAAATGATGATCACAAATAAAGAAACGTGTCCTTCTAAAAAGAGAGAATCTAAACAGATGAAGCAGAAGTCTTGCCCTGTAATCTGGTACAAATTCACCTGACTTCGATATAAAACAAGTACCTTTAATTCTTCCGGTGATGAAGAGGAATCCGTTCTTGTCAATTTTGCCCAGGTCACCTGAGTGCAGCCAGCCCTCTGCATCCAGAGCCTCCTCTGTCTCCTTGGGCTTGTTGAGGTAACCCATGAAGACGTGGCGACCCCAGAAGCAGATCTCCGTATTTCCCTCCTCGTCTATTTTGTGCAGCTTCGTCTTGGCCCCTGGTATCTCTTTGCCACAGCTGTGGGACAGAAACGTCGTTCGGTGTTTGGTCACATTACTCAAGCAGTGTTCTTGAACTGCATCTGATTCTGTGTCTAACTTTTCCTATCGCGTGAAAAGGAAAAATGTACCTGGTAAGCTTGAAGGCTTCGGGGAGGGAGATGGTGTGAGGTCCGGTGCTCTCGCTCATGCCGTACAGCTCGTACAGAGGGATATCCAGACTGAGGAAGAACTCCAGCGTGTCTTTGGTGATGGGTGCGGCGCCCGTGTAACACTTGGTGCAGCGGTCCAAGCCCAGGGCCTTGCGCACCTTTTTGAACACAAACTTTTTGGCTATGTGGTAGCTGACCGGTGCACGGCCGACTGCTCCGTTTCTGAAGAGACACAAAGGGTTTGAGTGTCAGATATATAAAAGAGAGAATGAATGAGATGCACTATATCAGACACCCATTGTAAATCTCTCTGTATGCCTACAAACCCAAAAATCACATGAACGCACTTAACGAGAAATGTACAGTCTACAAACTGGTGGTTTCATGTAAAAAGGTAAGAATGTTCTAGAAACCTTTCTCATTATTTCCCCCAAAAGCTGTATTTTCTTTTTTGAATTTGGATTCAAGATTTGAATGAAATTAATCAAAGAAAATGTTGTGTTGTATGTAATAAACATTAAGAATTGCATGCTTCTACTTTTGCTTTGGAAGATTAACAAATAAAACACTCCATGCTGGAAAACCCATTTTCAAACACTTGTCAATAATATTGACATGATTAACTCAGTATTTCATTTTTGTCAGTTTTCCTTTTAACATTTCACAGAAGAAATCCTTTCTATGATGCGTTAGGTGGAAAATACAGGAACTATAAATATAGCTTTAACAAAAACATTAAGTTCCAGTAAAAAGAAAGGAACAGGAACTCCCCGTCCTTGTGGACATGACTCCATATAAATACAGCTGTACTTTATCAACATGCACGTACTGGTACTTGGTGAGGTTGGTCTGCAGACCAACACCTTTGGCCCACACCGCCACTTTCCTGCGCAGAGTCGACGACTTTGCTGAGACAGATTTCATCTTCTCTTGCATCTTTTCCCAGACGCGAGGGACGCCCATGAAGGCTGTGGGACGCACCTCCTTCAAGGTCTCTACCAGAGAGCCCTGATGACAACAAGAAAAAATTCTATTTAAAGCTGCCACCACAACAAAACATTGACATCTCAGAGAGATATTACATGAACATATGTTTGAACAGAAACAATGGAGCCTTTTCAATTTGTCTAACATGTTCATATGTGTCTCCCCTCCGGATGCCACATTAACTGGAAAACGTGATAATCGGCCTCTAATCACCAACAACAACAAACTTATACGCTCCCATACATTTTAATGAGCGTGAAGGAGTGCTGATGATGATTAAAAGAAAGAAAGCCTAAGAAAAAAAACACCCCTGCGCAGCAGCAGTTCAGAAAACCAAACGTGTTTTTACGTCAGAAGGAAAATCTTGTAATTCCAATGAAAGAACACGTGAAGGAGGGTGAATAAGGATCCTGGGAAAGATCCTAAAAACTCCAATGATCCGATGCTGGGTCACAACGTCACCAAACTGATGATTTGATGAAGAGAACTCTCACTTTGTCAGTGCAAATTCAATTACTGCATTATTGAGGTGTTTATAACTTTTAATCCTCACTATTTACAAACTGGAGAATATTAGAAACTCCTGAATGTTATGTATCCATGTTGTTGTTGTTCACCATGTACAAATGCTGCCTCTCACCTTAAGGGCATCTGGCTGAGCGAAGTGCGTCAGCCCTCCGACCCTCATGGTGACCCAGATGTCCACCATCTGAGCCGCGATGTGGCTGAGCGGCAGGTAGCTGACCACCACCTCCTGAGTGTGCGTGGCGTCCTTCAGGCCCACGTGACGGATGGTGGAGAGTGCGGTCCATGTCAACTGGTGGGAGACGAGAAGAAAGCGGTAAATACACTGGGTTTGATGTGTGACAGGTCACATGTTCTCATCAGCACAGAAACAAAAGGTTGATGTACAGTATGGTGGACACTGTGGTTTATAATGTGTATAACACAGAGTTCTCTATGGAATGAAAACAGGGGCATGAAAACCAGTTTCTACTGATGCATCAGCTGAACAAGCAGTGATGGAAGATGTATTCAGATTACTAAGTAAAGTACCAATAGCTACATTATTGCAGAAATACACTATTACAAGGAAAAGTCTGGCATTTTTAAATCCTACTAAAGGCAAATTAAAGATGCATTATCAGCTAAATGTATTTAAAAAGTAAAATTATTCAATACATTAGTTTCCTGTAACTCATATATTATTATGTATGATTAGATATTAGAGTAATACCTATGCATCAATGAATTGTACTGTTGTAAAATGTGAGATAAAGCTGATTAACTACTTCATATACAGTCGGTTAGTTTGGTTTATTTCAGTGTTTCCAAACCAGGGAGAAAGAAAATAGTAATTTCTGATATCTTTTTGGGACTTCTCTTAAATGTTCATTTTGAACCTTAAATTAAATTTAACTAGGTGATTTGTTTAAAGAAGAAACCTCCCTGTAACTCATGGACAGCTGAAATGTGAGAAATCCCTACACACGCCACATCTCGAAAGTATAATATTTCTCTCTTAAGTGCAGTGGAGTCAAAGTAAAGCGTAAAATAGGCTTGAGTAAATCTACGTTGGTTTTTTATGTGTGAAGTGAGCATTGGTCTAATGGTAAAGTCGTTTTCAGTCCTTAAGGTATTTTCTGATCCATAGCAACATTAAAAAACTGCCTAACCGGCAGTTTAATATATTGAATAGTGTATGTCCACCTGCTGCGTCTGCACTTTTCTCTGGATCTCTGGACCCAAGCAGTATCTTCAGAGGTAAGAAAAAACCCAATTGGCCCGTTTAACTTACATTGTCATGGCTCAGCATGACTCCTTTGGGTGTGCCTGTGGTTCCTGAGGTGTAGATGAGCGTGCAGCATTGGTTCGGCTTCTGGCTGGAGATGATCGCATCGAGGGGAGCATCGGGTTCATCGCGTCCCAGCTCCATGAACTCCTCCCACTGTGGTGCACAAAGGACGAAGCAAAACCGCTCGAATGATGCTTCTTGAACCAAAATCCTTTCCTAGCTTGGTCTCGCCATTGATAGAGTGTAATCACTGTGTTCTCTACTCACTGTGTACAGATTTGGTCTCTTCTCTTTGAGTGCCTCTTTGTACTGGACAATGGCTTTCAAGTGAGGAAGCTGGTCTTCAACCTGTCAACAAACAATAAAGAATGTAATCTTAGAGCGTACTGCCAGGGATTAATCAACAAGACGAATTGTGTCTGTCTATAAATATTTATTATCATCTTGTTCAAAAAACAAAGCTGGAGGAGCAACATAGAAAACTAAAACTAACTTCTGTATTCTGTAAAACATTATTCACATGTACGGGCATCTCATCAATTTGCCTGTGACGACAGTATTTCGTTTTACCTGGAGGATCTTCTGCAACTGTTTGTGGTTCTCCACCACAATAACATTGGCCTTGCAGTTGTCTGCTACGTACTGACATGCCTCGGGGCTGTTGGTGGTATAGATGCCCACAGCAAACCCACTGCAACAGATAACAGAGTCAAAAGTTCAAATTAACCATTTCTCTTTCACTATTCCAGTGTTTGATTAAATCTGCAGAACAGTGAGAGCCAGTGTCAATCAGCCACCTCCATCATACGTGCTCTCGAATATCTAAAATAGAGTTTTACGTCCACTGAGGACGGGGTATGGATTTCCAGAAAACCTTTTTGAAAGGATTGGACATGGACCAAGGAAGAAATGATTTAACTTTGGCATGGATTTGGAAAAAGGAGTGTGCGAACTATGGTAGAGCTTGATTGGGTTTAAGAGGAATGTTGGGCCTGAGCCGAGGTATGTGCTCTACTGAGTGCCACTGTGGTTGTTTCAATTACCCCTCCATTGACAGGAGACTTTAGGAGAACAGATGCTCAGAGACTTAGTAAAACAGGTAGAGTCAGTCCTTCATATTGTTTCCCTTTTTCTAGTTTCTCATTCCTTGTAATGATGCAACAACAGAAACTACTCGACCTTGCATCAACTTCTCATGGGAAGTGAGACGAGCAAGAACCGATTCAGTTTTGCTTTTGCTTCCCAGAAACTGCAGCAAATGTGAGCGTGTTAGGGAGTTCATCAAAGTTGAATTGGACCACAGTACGAGAGTAAGTCAAACTCAATAGGCTCATCAGGACCAGTTTGACAAGCTGACAGTGGTTTGAAAAACATTCTGATTGTCATGCGTCAGAAGGTGTGAGCCTCCACAGAATCCACACACAGTATCAATGTGTGTGTTCCAGTTCCACGAGGAGTTTCACCAGAGTGATGGTCGTCTGTCTGACTAAAGTATTTGGGATTCTGGTTTCTCAGATGGACTTGTTTTTATGGTCACTTAAGCTCGGTGAATGAAGCAGTGCTTACGATTGATTTCCGCTGAGGCCAACTCAGAATATTCACACAATCACAAACACAGAGAGGCTTGTGATCAGTGCACTGTTTAAGCTTAAACCTCGACTTAGGTAAATAAGTAAAGTGGAAAGTACAGTTCTTGAGTGACGGCAAAAAGTGGCTTAGTTTCCTTGAGCTTAGTGAAGAAATAGAGTGGCGATCAATCAAAGAGGCTACATGTGAAACTAGATGACACTTAAGATTGTGTTCGTCTGTCGACCTCATATTTCAAGTCTTGGATTGCACCACTCAGACATGTGTATACACACACCCACAAACACACACAAATGTACAGCTGTCTTAGGACACTCATTGGCATAATGCATTCCCCAACCCCTAACCATCCAAACTAAAGGCCTAACCCTAACGTAAACTTAATTCTAACCCTAAAACCAACTCTTGACCCCAAAACAGTCCATTAAAGGAGGGTCACAAAGTGAGGACCGGCCCAAATGTCCTCACTTTGACAAAAATGTCCTCACTCTGTTGGTTACAGGCTGAAACCGGTCCTCACAAAGACAACTGTATACACACACACACACACGCACGCACAAAAAGCTCATCATTGACGACTACATAAACTCACAGAGATGAAACTCACCCTGCAAAAATGGCTCCAATGTCAGCAATGAACCACTCCGCCGAGTTGAATCCCAGGATGCCAACGCCATGGTAACGCTCCAAACCAAGCTAGAAAAAAAAAACCAGGAACATTTTTTCAGCATTGACAAAATAACACGTTTTTAAAAATACTCAACACTGGGATCCATTTCTCCTAATTTTCCCAGGAAATGTTTCTTTGATTGTTTTAAGTATATCTATATATTTTTGGAGACATTTTAGGCCACAGTATTCAGGGAAATATATAATGTACATATAGCTGATGTTTGTACAACACTAAATTTGAAGTTATAACCAAAAAATCAATCCCTTGCCTCATGAAACTGAGGTATTTTATAATACAATCACTGAAGTCAATCTATATAAGTTTGTTTTTATTCCAGAATCATTTGATCTGCTGATCTACGGAGTGATCAGAGCTTGTGTCCTCCAGCACGTTGCCACAGCAGCTGTTACTGTGTCAGCAGATACACAGGCAAACACACATGAGACAGTCCAACTGATACCGAGTTAAAAACAGTGAGCGTTTTAAATTTCTCAGGATTCACGGTTGGAATATAATATGAGACTTTGTTGATGTTTGCAAATGTGAAAACTCGAGAGGAGATTTTATTCTGACAACATGAACCTTCTGTAATGACCTTCTGGCTCCTGACGCGTAAAAGGTCACAAGTTCATTTGACAGAGTCGGGTTCTGAAAGGTTTGTACAGAGAGACACGTGTGAGTGAAAGTCAGTCTGTCTGTGTGTGTACGTGACACCGTCTCTGTGCTGACTAACTGTGGTGGGTTTCACAATAAACAATAAGCTCCTCTGTCCTGCATGAGGAGCTGCCTCACAGTCTGGCTGCACACTGAACTTCAGCCTGACGCCTTCACAAAGCACTGTGTAATGTCTGGACTGATGTGGAATCAAATCAGTAGCAGGACAAGAGAAAGTAAGAGCTTTTGGAGTTTGCACTGCCAAAAACACTCCCCAGGACAAAAAAGGCCAAATATCCTTGGATCCTTTCATGAATACTAGATCACTGAATAAAAAGAATCTACCTTGAGGAAGCTCTTGGCAGCGATGCGGCAGGTCTGGTAGTAGTCTCTGTAGTTCAGGCTCTTCTTCTGCTCGCCCTCCTTCCAGCTCAGAGCCGTGTAGTCACCAAAATGCTCCACAGCGGAGGTGAACACCTGGTTGATGGTCAGCGGGGTCTCAGCAGCCAGTCCCGAGTCTCCCATCCTCAGCTTTACCTCTGCATCCCCCTGTGTGGTCGACAGGCCGAGCTCTGCTGCTGCTCGCACCGACAAGGAGGTTGGGCGCTGAGCGCTCACTGGAATATGTGATCAAAAAAATTTCAGAGAATTTAGCAATTGTTTGTTCAAAAGCTTTGGAGGCTTTTCACTCCTCTGCATCTGCTGGAGTCTCCTCATCACCGCCCGGATTTCAACAAACACTCTGCATTAGTCACATTAGAGAGGATGCCACCCCAGATTTGTCTTAAATGTGTAGTGTATAATTTATATGGCAGCCACTTCATTCCAGTGTCTGTTGAATTTGGATTTTGGGAGGACAATGTTGTCAGTGGTGTAAAGAATAGAACAAAACTTTTCATTTTATTTTAACTCATATCTGTAAATAGTAAAAACCGAGAAACTGATCTTGTAGGGGTCTCTTGATATTTTTTTCCAGAGCTTTATATAAAAGCTACAAAATAACCCGGGATCAATGAGCAGATGAGTCTAATCTGAGCCCTGACAGCAGATCCACAGTGTCCCAACAAAAGGTTGACTAGATATACTTCTAAAGTTCAACCACTCACCATAGTTGCTCACAAACCTTCTGATTGTCTGCAATGTTGTTTCTCTCCTTACCGTATCTCATTTCTGTGATGGCGCGATTACAAACATGAGTATCTTTGTCCAGAGTTACAAAGATAACATTTGTAATAAATGGGAGAATTTTTGTCGAGTCTCAGTGTTCATGTGTTTTTAAAACCAGAAAGAAGGATGTGCCACTAACCAAACAGCCAGCAGGATGTTTGGATTATACGATGGGGTCATATTGTGGACAGAGTAATTAAATGATAGCGGATTTATGATGAAACACAAGAAGTTCATTATCAGTGCAGAGAGTTGTTAGGAGAGCAGAACAGTTGGTTGATGTTTTCTAATGGAAAACCAGCAGCAGACATGTGCGGTGGTATTTTAAGTTAAACCTATTTCACGTTGTGGTTCTATAAGTAGTCATATTCCAAGCTGAACTTTTTGTTAAGCGTTAACCAACATGACAGAATAAGTGTGATGTGTACTGGGACTTTTCTTTCAGTGACTGAGGTAGGAAGGAATGTCAAAGTGGAGTTTAAAGGCAGGAAAAGGAAAGTCGAGTTTGTTCTGCCAAAGAATGTAGAGTTGTTTCGCTTCTGTTTAGACAGTTTCCTCAGGAAGAACATGATCACTAGTGCTGACTTCAGCAACTAGAGCCGACAGAGACTTTATCTAATGTCAGATGTTACGGACATGAACGCTGGTGTTTCAACTTAACTATATTTCCTAACCAAGAAGCATAAGAGCCGTATTATTTCTCATCATAATTCTATTCTACATGTTCAGAGTACTGAGTTTCCTTCAGCCCTCACCTGTTTGTGTGTTGGTGGCCTTTTTAGCAGGGACCTCTGTCATCTTAGTGCTGCTGGTGACGTCATTATGGGCACCAATCTCCTCGTCCCTGTCCCCTGTGGACTCTTCCTCTGAAGACTCACTAAAAAAATGTGGGGGGGGAACATGTCACTCAACAAAATTGGAAAATGAATCCCCCAAGGTTTCCTGCCATGTCCTCTGGAATTATCAGAGTAGGTAATAAGGGAAAAGTGTCTTTCACCACATTGTTAAACGTCCTCATCATTCTGACATTTCCTCAAGTTCAATGTAGATCTTGTAAGCACTCAAAAAAGTTTGAAAATAATGTTTTATATTGTTATAACATGAAATTTAAGCCTCATGGATAACGTGAGTTCAAAGAGCACTACAAATTAGCTATCAAGCTAAAAACCAGTGGTTCCCAATATTTTGGGCTCATGATCGCTTAAAGCAAAAAGAAAATCAACTTCAGTGCCATAATCCAATGTAGGTACATTTTCCTCTTCTTACTATGTTTAATTTGAATAATTTCTAGTTGAGCGAAGACGTAAAGTGTCCAATATCATACAAGGAAAAACAGCATTAATGTTTTGGGGTTTCAAGGAGGTTTTGCGCCTGTATGAGCACGTACTTGGTTGAATCTACAATTACGTCATCGAGAGAGGCGGCGCTGTCTCCTACGTCACAGGGCGACTTCAGGAAACTGTCAGCTCTGGGAGGCTCCATCGCCACAGCTTCGGTGGTGGGCTCACACGCGGTCACTGAAAGAAAAAGAGCAACAGGGTTCATTGGCTACTTTTGACGAGCGCATCATATCAGGAGCATTGTCAAGAAGAAAATAATGCATCAAGACATTTATTTGCGACCCCTGAAAATATCTGATGCTAAGTTAAGAAAAAGTAAAAAAAAAACAGGCTTATATCAGGTGGTGTCTATATGTGAACCTTCATGATGGGATACGGATGTAATATTGAAAGTTAGTAGTTTTATATAGAAAACTTGACACACTTTTAGAGTAAGATTCGAGCCTGGTGTGAGAAGAGAGAAAAGAGAGGATGGCTTTACTGGTCTAATTGTGAGACAGTAAGTTTCACCAGTGTGTGACAGCCAGCGGCTTGTAGTACTCACACCTGAGTGTTGTTGGCCACGGGTCACAGGACTTTTTTTAGCATCCCTGTTACTGCTTCTTGAGCAGGTTTGAGTTTAAAATCAGTTATTTAGATATTTCTTTAGAATATGAGGGACTGTGCACACTTTGTTTCTCATGTTGCTTTTTATTATTATTATAGGCAAATTTGGATTTTCAAAATAAACCCCCCAGATGGTTACAGGATGTTCCCAGGGAGCTGGAAAAAGACTGGAGTTTTAAAATAAAAACCCCAAATACTTACAGAATGTTTCCAGAAGAAGAAGCTGGATGTTCAAAATAAAAGTACTGGATAATGATAAGACCTTACCAGGAAGCCTGATGGATGCTGGATTTTCTAAATAAAAGCCACCGATAGTTATATGCTGTACCTAAGAAGCCTGAAGGAGGCTGGATTTTGAAAGTTAAATCCCATGGATGGTGATAAGACCTTACAACATGGTTTCTCTCTCTGAAATTGTTACAGTCTCTCTGTCACCAACCTGGATGTCATGTGATCAAAATGCAGCTTTTGTACATGTCTTTCTCTCTCACTGTCTCACTCTCTCTCTCAGGGTCTCTCTTCTTCCTCTTAAATGAAATGTCTCTGGCGGGAGGACATTTCTAGTTAACCTTTACAGCTTACTTTATCAGCTGTTGAATACATATTGTGTTTGCCAATACTACAACTACTGTGTTGACAAAATTGGGTTGTGTGGCAACAGAGTGGGAAGTCGAGCTGGAGAAGTGGAACGTTTACAGATGAAAAAGCTTTTCTATGAATAGTGGACTGAATTTTATATCAATGCTTTGAAAACAAAAAACCTTTAAGAAAATGGTTCCAGAGCTCTATGCTGTTAAAATTGAAGGAGAGCCATGAGGATAAAGAAAAATGTATCTGACATCATATTTTTGGTACAAGAGCATAGAGATAAGGTAATATATTACAGATTTATTCCTGTTACCAAGCAAACGACAATGATCAATGATGATAATGAACAGTCGACTGGATAGAAGTGTGTTTTTCCTTCCTCATATGTTGTTTGCACAGACTGTTATAAACAGGTCAAAGCCACAGATACGATGCAGTTAAATGAAACGTCCTGTTACCTTGAATACAATTGGCCTCCTGCAAAGCCTCCTTAGCGATAAACCATCATCATAGGAACCATCACCATAATTGACCACCATCAAACCCACACTTCCATGACACTCTCTCGCACCCCCTCTCATTTCAGCCTCTGTTGTTGCCTGCAACCTTCTCTTTGGTGAATCGCAGGTCTGGCCTGTTTATTTAAGGGGGCTGAAAACACATACCAGCAGCTTCGTCTGCCTATTGTAGCAGCAGCATATCATGTCCCGCATGTCAGGGGACAATCGGACAAGTAAAAAGAAACAGGCTCCAGAGAGGTCAGAGAGCAGGAACGAAAAAATGTTCACATCATGCTTTAGAGTTTGACCTGTGTTTACTGAAAAACATTCCAATATAATTACAAAAACAGGTTAAATGGACTATGCCATGTGTCTTTAAAGTGGCAGGGATGGAATTACAAGCATTCCTGACATTCTGGACCCTTGGGAATCAGCAGTGATCCTCTAAGAGCACACCCCAATCCATCGTCACTGCTGTAAAAGAAAATCAATTCTTCTTTGGTCATGTGGCGAGCAGCCAGCTGACCCTGAGGAGGCTTCAGCTCGTTGCTGATTACAACAGAGGCCTGAGAGGTCTCTTGGCTGAGAAGACAGATGTCACAGAGTGATCTCAGCGCTGCTCACATGGACACGCTGCCATTTTATTTTGCCTCATCTTTCCAATACAGCTGCAGATTCCTCAGTCAGACAGCTGTTGGTGGATTTCGTTTCACAAATAGTATTACATGGAAGAAGAGTTGAGGGTGAAGGGAGGGGGGGCAAATCTGGTACTAACCGGGGTCTGATGGGGGAGACATAAAACATTCCCCCTCCTTCACCTCCTTTGGGCTGTGTCATTGTTTTGGTCTCGGGATGGTGAGGAGTGTGTGGGGCGTGACGCTGAGCCTGAGAAAAGGTTCAGTCACTCGTTTGCTCCAAGGATGTGGACGCTCTTCGACATAAGACTATAAAAAGCCTTGAGGCTATTTCTTGTCTGCCCCATTTTCACTTCGTCTCATCTTCCTTACAAACAGTGTCCATTTTGTTTCAATAAGCAAACATCACATGAATCCATCACGTTTAGTTCTAAAATAAAAGGCTTGAGATGCACACCACTGATTTAGCTCTTGTGAGGCAACCCCCTACTTCTCGTCAGACAGTGACGAATGCCTTGTAATATAAATCGTTGGTCATTGAGTCTTAGTATTCACCCACCGCCTAAAAATAACATGTATGGCAGGTAAACTATTACTTTCAGATTCACTTTTTTCCGATGCTGATATCACTCATAGGCTATAATTGTGGGCTTTCCCCCTTATAGCTGAACAACTGAAAGCAGTTCTTGGGAGTAGGGGCATATCAAACAATTATTTTCATTAACCAACTAATTCTTTTTGCAGATAATCAATATTAGTTCTGTCTATAAAATGTGAGAAATTGTAATCCTATATGATTGACTGATGGATTAATTGACCGGTTGTTACAGCTCTGTGGAGCTACATCCAAAGATTATTTCATTAAATAAAGGTTCAGTGTGTAGGATTTAGATTTACATATAGTGTGAAGTTGCATGTTGCATGTTGCAGCTGATACCCCTCACCTCCCCCACCTTCCAAGCATCAAGGGGAACCTAATAGTAGTCTCCAATTCAAAAGGTGTTTAGTTTGTCCAGTTTGGACTACTGTAAAAAACATGGCAGCCTCCGAAGAGACGACCCGTTCCCAATGTAAATATAAAGGGCTCATTCTAGGGGGAAAGAAAACAACAATTTGTGCTATTTAGGTGGTAAACATCACTAGGATTAAATTTCTGCCAATAGATCCCTTTCACCGAAATCTTACACACTCGACCTTTAATTATTCAGCCATTGAAATGTCAAAATCAATCAAGTTCCCATGACAACTCCCCAAAGTGAAAGGTGATTTTGTCTCACTCCATTTGATCATAAGTAAAAAAACACGAGACATTCAGATTAAAAACAATATGACACGGAATAGGAGCAATTCTCTCATTTCAGAAACTGGACGCAGAGAATATTTGGATTTTTTCCACAATTATTGCTTGAAAAATGACAGTAAAAAGACAGGACACGTTGTTTGCACCTTTCCTTGTCTGTTTTCATTAGTCTACCTTGTAATGTTGCCACACAACTAGTGCCAAGGATGATTTATCTGAAGGACTCAACAGCACTGCGCAAACTGACATCACTATTGCATTCATGCAAACGGGAGAGGATTATGAAAGTGGAGCAGAGTTGGGCATAGCAACAGCTGTTCCATTGAGAAAGGGTAACGGTTGGAAACAAGACACTTAAAACCTACTTATGCTTCACTGTTGATTAATATTGAAGGAGACAAATGTGTCTTCATCACAGGGGAATGATCACAACGCTAGACAGAAAGAAAATGCTGTGGGGACTCTCCCCAAAACAACAGCACCTTAATCCTCTGTTTAAACTGAACACACATAACCCCACCCTCTGCTTTCAGTTCTCACTATTCTCTTTCTCTTCACGTCCAAAGCAACAACCTGCTCCACTTGACTGCTCCTGCGTAACATTTTCACCCAAAACCAAGTGAGATCCCCTGAATTTCCATCATTCTACCAATCAACCGATCCTCTGCATGATCCCTATAGTCGGCAGCCCCATCACCCAGTGGAGCAGATTACTGGGTGTCCCCCTCAGCATCCTCACTGTGCAGATACAGCACATTTCACACTTTTCACCAAATTTTAAACATTTTTCAGTCAATTCAGCTCTTTAAAACCAGACCAAGGGGTTTTAAAGCGTCTGTGTAACATGAGATGACATCTGGCAAATTCAGCATCTGTTGGAGGGATGGGTTCCACCCAAGACACCGGCTGACTAAGCCTTTACATTACAAACATCACACAATCTGTTGAGATAAACTCAACCATCGTTCAAAATCTTAGCTCACAGCTGAACGAACCATCACGAGGCTGAAGAATTGAGGACAAATCTACATCGGGGAGTTGTTGAGTCAAACGGTAACCTTGGAAATCAGACTATGGGATCAACACCAGAGGATATAACTGATATTAATTCATATACAATCGCACCAACATACGCTTGGAGGTATTCAGGGATCCTTACTGTACGTGATCCAAGAGAAAGTTACATGAATTGCATCTGGAAACAGAAAGAATATAAAATGGAGGTGAAGTACTCACACTTCATCGTTGCCTGGGCGCTTTTTCTTTAATTCTCGGGATCGTTTTCTCTCGTCCACTTCTCTCGTGTGTCTGTTTGACGTTGTGTCTTCAGTTTGAACTCACACACACACACACACACACACTCACACACTCACTCACACACACACACCCTCTGTGTGTGTGTAGATCTACTACTCCGGATGCGTGTCATTCATTTTCACACAGCGGCCGGCTCGCTTAGCCCCGCCCCCTCAAAAACCCCACCCAGACGTCCTCCCTCCTCCCCGCGCAGCCCCCCGGAGACACCTGATTGGCTGAAATCGCTCACACCACAAGACTCATCTTCCATATAAGGGAGTGAAGGTCGATTGCGGAAGTGGCTCTGACGGAGTCGCTCGCGCTGCTCGGCTCATTCTTCGGATCGGTCGAAGATAGTCGAGTATTTCGAGTTTTCGAGTTTTGATCGTTACGCACCTTTGAAGTTGAAGAGTGATAAAGACACGAAACAATACTGACATGCTGTGTTGGTGTCAGACAGAAGAGATCATTACCCAACTGCACCAAGATAAAGATAGATAGATAGATGGATAGATAGATAGATAGATAGATAGATGGATAGATAGATAGATAGATAGATGGATAGATAGATAGATAGATGGATAGATAGATAGATAGATAGATAGATAGATAGATGGATAGATAGATAGATAGATAGATAGATGGATGGATAGATAGATAGATAGATAGATGGATGGATATATTAGATTAGATATACTTTATTCATCCCACAACGGGGAAATGTACTTGTTACAGCAGCAGAGAGAAAGTGTAGTATACACTACAGAAATTAAAATGGAAAAGGCAATAACACAAAAAAACAGACAGAAATTTCTGTAACCTACACAGTAAAAAAGAAAACAATCGACCTGCAAACAGACAATGTGAAAAAAGGTACTGAGGATAAAAGAGTGGCATGATATAAAAAGTATTGTAATGTAAAGTATATAAGTAATATTGCAAGTAAGTGACCATGATATAAATAATATTGCCAAAGTAAGTGACCATGATATAAATAAAATTGCCAAAGTAAGTGACCATGATATAAATAAAATTGCAAAAAGTGACCATGACATGGATAATACAGCAAGGCATAAATGAAATAAAATGAAATAAGAAAATATTGCAATGTAAAGTGACCATGATATAAGTACTATGGTAAGGTAAGTCAGACATTGTAAGTGGTAAATGTAAATATTAAAAATATCAGAAATATAAGAAATGTAAATGCAGATAAATAAAAATAAAAATACAGCCATGGTGAGTAGTAGTAGGTCGAGACATGAACAGGAAACTACAACATTATCAGGTGGATAGATGGGTAGATGGGTAGATAGATAGATAGATAGATGGATGGATAGATGGATTGATAGATAGATAGATAGATGGATGGATGGATGGATAGATAGATAGATAGATAGATAGATAGATGGATGGATACATAACAGTAACAAAAGGTCAATGAGTCAAGAATAAGTGCACTGCAGTGAGATGGAAGTTGAGCCACCAGAACTCAAGCTGTCACGGTAAAGAAGTATGTGCTAATGGATATGTTGACGATGCAAATATTTGAAGTACAAGGTGATTGACAGACACGAGTTACTGAGGCAGAGTATTGAAGCCAAATATAAATGCAGATTTAAAGATGAATAACTTTACTTTAATAAAATATAAAGGCTGAGTAGGAAAAAGAAGATGAGAATAGTCAACCATGTTGGACTCCTGCGGTGAGGCAGTGAGAAACCAATGTAAATATGAGCTCTATCTCGCAAAGAACCAGTACAAAAGATTGCTACGGCAGAACCAGGAGACACACACACACACACACAGTCACAGATGATGCTAAAGCCCATCCCCCTACAGAGATACTCGTCTGCACGCGCACACACATGCACACACACACACACAGCTATTCTGACTGAGGTTACTATTGGACACGGTTTCTGAGGCAAGATTACAAGTGCAGCTGTGCTGGCTCAACTTTATGACTTTCCACTGGCTGAAATTATTCTTTTGTACTTTGCAAAGACGCCCATATCCTGTGACCTACATAATTAAAACAAATTTCACACCGATCTTACTTCTTCTTCATATCTACCGTAAGATTTAAGCCAGTGAGGCTGCAAAATAATAATTATTTTGTATTTGCAGGGTATTTTCCCAATATATTAGTTATTGCAGTTCATTTATACTGTTATATTTCAATTTCATGACACTTATACTTTACAATATCATGTACAATACTGTAGGTTTGCCTACATTTGTAGAGTATTCTTGCAGCATTTCTACTTGTAGTTCAGTGCTGCACTGAATACTTTGTATACACTGCAAAATAAAATCCTCATATAATTGATGCTGAAGCTCATGAAAAATACAAAAGTAATGCTGACTACATCACAGAAATATTAAAATATTAGAACAAGCTACTGCTGATAATCAGAGTTTCTTAAACGCTCATAACATTGTTTGCAAACTTTATTTCAGCCCAGTCAAGTGAAATTTAAGTTGTGCGCCAAATCACAAACAGCCTGACAAGCCCGTACTTCTAGTTCTTCTGAACAGGGACCTGATATACAGGGTGCAGACACAAAGACAGAAGCTCTGGAGAGGGAACAAATGCAGTAGGAACTTAAGCCATAAAAGAAAAAAAGGTGGCTGTGTGCAAACATTGTAAATGTGTCCAACTATAAATATATATATATATATATATATATATATATATATATATATATATATATATATATATATATATATATATATATATATGTATATATATATATATATATATGTATATGAAAGTCTCACTGGTGAATAACACATGAGGAAATGTCTTTTCTTCACACAGTGTCTGCTGCCACAACCGCTCTATAGGTCACGTAGTTCAAGTAGAGGAAACAGGAAGAGCACGCACATTTCCTACTAAATATAATTCTGAAATCAGCTTAAATTTCGCAGTTCCCTTCAACAGATCAACTGACTTAATACTTTTAAGCTCACAAGAAAATAAACAGCATTTTCTTCAATCAGAAAATTCAGAGAAGAATATATCCACATATAATAGAGGATGGTGAGATAATTGTGCCTGTGATCATTTTTATGAATGTTGTTCCGTATGATCATATTCTTATTTTCATCCAGCTTAGCTCACATGTGTGCATAAGACCTCTCCAAATGTGTGCCATCCCTGCTTCTATAGAAAGATTCTTCTCAGCCAATTGCCACGAGAGATGAAATCGCATAGCCACCACACCACAACATCACATGACAGCCAGAGGCCGGCTGATCTGCTGTGCTCATGCGCACACGCTGAGCTGCTGCTGCAGAATGTGTTTAGTGCTGATGCATGCTGCACTGAGGTTACTGCCGTTCATTGACTTCTTCTCCTGTACCCTGCTCTCCTGAGGCGTGATGTAAAGCTGTACCTTTTGATGGAATATTGAGTTTAATCTATAAATTACATAATGTTTACACATGGCGTGTAACTAATTACACATTTGACTGAAATTTAAAAAGTAAATTATCTTTGGAGTTTGAGTATGATAGCACTGTTGTTTTAGGCAAATAGTAGAAAGGTGTACAATTCAAAGTGATTGGAAAAATATTCACATCATCCACTTAAACAAAATGAGTAATTTGTAGATATACTCCCTGATAAGTATCTGTTACTGTAGGAACTGTAGAAGTCTGTATGCGGTCATCAATTACTTTTCTGGCCAAAATAACAAAAGCCAATAAATGACATTAAGTGGACTTACCACTTAATGTCATTTATTGTCTGTCTGCATATTCAACATGAAATATGATTAAAAAGATGAATAAATATATATTAACATTATGAATAGAAAATGATTGTAATTTTCTATATTGACTTAAAAGAGGACCCTATAGTTGAGATGCAGGAGCTCACTGTGCTGATCTGCTGACAAGAGTCAAACTAGTTTATGGGCTGAGCTCTGTCACAACTGCTGAAGCCACTTTCACTTTACATTCACCCATTAGATTCACTCAACTCAACCATTAACCTCATTAAACATTTTATAGTCAATTTATATTTTACCTAGTAAAATGGGTTGTCTGAAATCCTTAGGTGGTGTCATGTTCTGTCCAGAATCCAAAGATATTCGATTTAATCTAATCTAAGACAAGTAAAAGTGGATTTTTTTCACATTTGAGGAGCTATTCGTCTACATTGGTGTTTGTTGGTATTTTTGCTTCTTTTACTTTGTTTGAGTTAATTATTTACAGAATAACTGGTGAAAACATTTCCTGTTAGTTGATTAACAGCAGATACATCAAGTAAATTGTCTTATGGAAAAACAGAAGCATTTCAGTCAGTATTTTTTTTTTAAATATTTATTACTGTTACTACTAAAATATATATAATAAGTGATATGAGGCAGCAGTAATGAATGAAAAACAGCCAAGACCCACCAGAGTTGATGAATCAACAAAGAAAAACAAGATGTTGGCAGGAAATATTGTTTACACAGACTAAATCATCAATAAACATATATGAGCTACAACAATGTCATACCATTCCACAATATAAGGCCACGGTATATAATGACTATAAACACTCAATACAACTATCCACTCAACCCAAAGCCAGGAAAAAAATCAATCTTCATATATCTCTTGAAATAACTAATATATAATTATATGTTGGTTTTAACTAATACTCCCCCAGAAGAAAATAGGGGGACAAAAACTATCAAGATCTGGATCCACAATTTCCACAATTAAAATGTTCAGTCTTTCAGTCTGGTAAGAGAGGAACACATGATTTAAGTTTATTTTAATTAATGTGATAAGGACTGTTTTGTGTTACAGTCACATACTGCCACCACGTGTTAAAGATCTGAAATGCAGGAAACAAGGCCAGTTGCAGGACTCATGTAATTCAATGACATAGAAAAAGATAGACTATTGCTTGGTTTATATTGTTTATATTGTGAACACATTGTACAGCAACAACAAAAACAACTCCTGACAGGTTAGTGGGGTCATGATGGTCGATATTAAGTATTATTATATTTTATTTTTATTTATATAGTGACATGCATAGAGTATGAACCAATGCCACATCACACAGCATGGTCTAAACTAGCAATTACACAAAAAGACAAGAACAATACACAACATGCAATCAATTTACAAACACAAGAACATACCATAAATGAGAAGCACCAGATCTTTCCTGACTGATCCCACATCAGGAGCTGGATTATTTAGGCATTTATAGATAAATTAATGAAATCAGTGACATGTAACATGTTTAATTTCTTTCTAACACAGTGGTTCTATTGTCCTATCTGCTTCCTGCCC